TTGTTGAGTAGATAAATAACTCATACAACCCTTACCATTCGGCCCCTGTATACTTCACAGTGGTTCTCAACCTCGGCGGTACATTCCTGTCACCAGAAAGCTTTAAAAACAACTACCGGCCGTGCCCCACCCAGTTCTCTTAAGTGAGAATCTTGGCTTAGGATCTGGACATGGGTACCCTCAGAAATCTTCCCAGGGCTGGCAACAATTGGGATAGAGTTCTACCAGCCGGAGAGATGAAGCTATCATTGTGGGCAACAACCAGTCAGGCCTCCAAGAGATCCGATCCTAAGCCCCAGCCTCTGGCCACAACTCAGCACTAGGAGTTCTGCTCCATTGCATTGTTTGCTTCATGGGCACCTGGAAAAGTAGGCCCAACCCAGTCCATCCCTGCCCATCCTCCCCACTCACCTGGCTTAAGTCCAGTGCAAGGGTGTGATGAGGGGTGGCAGGAAGAAGTGCTTCAGAGGGGGACCGTATGTCCTCAGCTGTGGCATGGCCAGGGCTGCTGTAGCACAGACAGGTACTTGGCCCTGGTCCTGGGGTCTATGGAGACTGCACCTGCCCAGGAGGCCACCAGGCCACAGAGGGTCATTCCTGGGCCACAAAGCAGCTGTTTAGGAATTTGAATGCTTTCACATTTTGTTAAGGGCCAACCCCTTCCCATCTGGCCCCAGGGATCTCTGAGGTTGGGGATGGGTTAGTATATGTACTTTCTTTCTGGACAATGCAAGAATCTTTGAACACTTTAATTCCATTCTCTGCTACCAACTTACATGCCATTGTTTTAACTCAACTTTATTAAGTATAATTTACATACAAGTGAACCCAATTTGATGAGTTTTGACAAATTTATATACTTCTGTATCTCTAAAACCATGAAGATTTAGAAAAACGTCTATTCCCTCCCTGCCACAAAAGGTTCCTTCTTGCTCCTTTGCCAACAATCCTTCCCACCTTGACCCCAAGCAACCAATGATCTGCCTTTCTCCTACTCGAGGATTTCCTGTAAATGGAGTCATATAGTATGTACTCTTTTGTGTCTGGCTTCTTTTGCTCATTATAGTGTTTCAAAGATTATGTTACTGTCTGTGTAAGTGGTTTGTTTGCTAATTGGTATTCCACTGTATTGTTATATCTCAAATTGTTTATTCACCATCAACAGATGGATATTTTGAATATTTCCTATTTTGGGCTATTTAAACTAAAAAATTGTGTTCACGCCTTTGTGTGGACATATATTTTTATTTCTCTTGGGTAAATAAGACCTGGAATTGCCGGATCTATATACTAAGTGTTTCTGATTTTATAATAAGCTGACACATTTCCAAAGTGACTGTACTCCTGTCTCTTCCTCCCTGGAATGTGTGCGAGTTCCAGTTGCCCCACATTCTCACCACTATTTTTGATGATATCAGTCTTTTTAATTATAGTCATTCTAGTGGGTGTGTAATGTTATCTTATTTGGGTTATTATCTGCATTTCCCTGCTGATGATATTGAGCATCTTTTTGTGTGTATATTGGCCTTTCTTACATCTGAAAAGATGAAGTGTCTGTTCAAGTCTTTTGCACATTTTTTTAAATTGGTTGGTCTTATTGAATTTGAAAAGTTCTTTATATATTTTGGATATAAATCTTTTGTCAGATATTCGCATTATGAATGTTTCCACCCAGTTTCTGGCTACTGTTTTACTTTAAGTATCATTCAAAGAGAAGGCATTTTTAAATTGGATGAAGTCCAATTATCAGGTTTTTTTCTCTTATAGTTTGTGCTTTTCGTATAGAAAATATCTTCTTAGCCAAATTTCTATTATGTTTTCTTCTAGAAATTTTATAGTTTCAAGTTTTTCATTTAGGACTGTGATCTGTTTTGAGTTAATTTTTGTGTATCATGAGAGAGAAGGGTCACTTTTTCCTCTCATAAATATCTAGTTCTTTCTGCAACATTTCTAGAAAAGACTATATTGCCCCCATTGAATTACCTTGGCAGCTTTGTTGAAAATTAACCTACTGTATATCTATGCATCTATTTCTAGACTCTCTAGTTTGTCCCATTGATTTATGTGTCCTATTGATTTATGTGTCTCTAGTTAACACAAAAGTAACACTGCCGTGGTGATTGTAGCTTTATAATAAGCCTCAAAATCAGGTAGTGTGAGTCTTTCAGCCTTGTCTTTTTCAAAATTATTTTGACTATTCTAGATTATTTGCATATCTGTATAATTGTTTTAATCAGCTTTTCAATTTCTAGAAAAAGTTTCCTGGGATTTTGACCAGCATTTTACTGAGTCATTGATCTATTTGGGGAAAATTGGCAGTTTAACAATATTATATCTTTCAAACCATGAGCATATTATATATCTCTATTTAGGTGCTTTTATAGTCTCTAAGTAGTGTTTCATACTTTTCAGTATACAGAGCTTACACATATTTTGTTAAATTTATCCCTATTTCATGTTTTTGATCCTAATATAAGTAATTACATATTATATTTTATTTGTTATTGTATCATTTATATCTGTATTTTAATTTCCATTTCTAATTGTTCCCTGCTGGTTTGTAGAGGTACAGTTGATTTTGTATGTTGACCTTGTACCCCATCACCTGCCAAATTCACTTATTAGTTCTAATAGCATTTTGTAGATCCCTTAGCATTTTCTACACACACAATCATGTCATCTGCAGATAAAGACTATTTTGCTTCTTCCTTTCCAAAGTTTACTTCTTTCCAAAGTTTACTTTTACTTCTTTTTCTTTCCTTATTGCACTGGCTGGAAGCCTTAGTACAATTTTGAATACGAGTAGTCAGATGGATTCCCCAGCATTGTTTCTGATGGAAGAGGGGAAGTGGTCAGTTTTGCACCATGAACTGTGGTTTTGGCTGTTAACTTTATCAAGTTGAGATAAATTCCTTTCTTTCCCTAGTTTCCTGAATAGGTGTTGAATTTTGTCCAATGCTTTTTCCTGCATCTATTGAAATAATTGGATAGCTTTTCTCTTTCGTTCTGTTAATACAGTAAAATACATTATTTTTTTTCAGAATGTTAAACCAACCTTCATTCCTGGGACCACAGTTGTGCATAGTATATATCATCCTTTTTATATATTGCTGGATTCAATCTGCTGATACTTTGTTAAGGACTTTTTTTTAAATTTATGATCATGATGCTCTTGGTCTGTAGTTTTCTTGTAATATCTTTTTCTAGTTCTGGTATCAGGAGAATGCTGGCCTCACGCGTTTGGGCATTTTCTTTCTTCTCTGCAAGAATTTGTATACAGTTGGCATTATGTATTCCTTAAATGTTTGGTAGTATTCATCAAGCTAAGTCCAGCTCTATATTGCTTGGAGTTTGTCCACATTTTCATATTTTAGCAAATTTATAAATATTTTCAAAGATTTAGAGAAACATTAGTCCTGGCTACTTTTGCTGATTTTTTGGGAGGGTGGGGGGAGAAATTGGCATCATTTTTTTTTATTGTGGTAAAGTGTATGTAATATAAAATTTACTATTTCAACCATTTTTAAGTGTGTAGTGGCTTTGAGTACATTCACACTGTTGTGTAGACTTTAATTTCTTATATCACTATTTCTTAAACTGAAATATTTTTTTAAAATTTAAGACATTCCATTTAATCTAGAATTTCAGGGTTGGTTTTTTTTTGTTTTTTTTTTACATTAGATCTCTAGAATTTATTCATCTTGCATAACTATAACTTTGTACCTTTGATCAACATCTCTCCATTTCCCCTTCTCCCCAGCCCCTGGCAACCACCGTCTTACTCTGCTCCTAGGAGTCTGACTATTTTAGATTGCACATGTGAGTGAGATCCTGCAGTGTTTCTCTGTCATCAGTTCTTCACTTTGTAAGTGCGGTAAGTGAAAACACAATTCACCATCACTGACGTTGTGGCAGCAGTTATAATTATGTACTTCTATACATACAGTTTCATGAAGTTATGCATTTGAATTATATTTCATCTTGCTATAAGCTTGTTGGTTTTACCTCTTGATTAGAATAAACCCTATTATTTGGAGAATTTTAAAATGATTAAGACTTTTAGGAAAATTCTTTATGTTTGAGAGGTTAAGTTGTATTTTATTGTATTTAGTTGGTGTAGCTCTTTCTTCAGATCATTTCAATTCTGAAGTTGCCAAAGGGACATATTACAAATACAGTTTGAATTCACTCTCGAAGTCTTTGTTGTACGTGAGTATTTCACAAGAAATACTCAGTGCTAATTACCTTTTACTTGCCCCTGAATGGATTGCCACCAGCAATGTGAGTGTGACAGCACTTTGTAAATGACTCCCAAAACATAGGTCAAAATTATCTTAGAAAAAAAGGAGTGAAAAAAAGGAGTACCAGAAAAGTTACGGTTATAGTTTTTCTTAGACATATAGGAGAAAGGAATTCAGTTATGCTGCTATGATAAAAAGTGTCTAAAACAAAGATACAGAATAAACGGCATTGTATAAAATAACAAATTTTATTCCTATAAAATATTTTACACTAACTGTACACATGCACACACCCACACAGTACTTAACCACACATTGAGTTATTTCCTTTTAATAAATCTACCACATACTGTTATATTACAATTTACAATATAGTCCTTGAAGACACAATGGGGAAAGCTTTGTCATTCATTTATAAACCTTCCATAAATTACAAAAGAAAGGCAGTCTGAAAAGTATGTATAAAGAGTAAAAACAATTTACAAGTGGACAAGAATTACAAAATAGTAACCATCAAATACATCTGCCAGCAACTTTGTAAGTCTTTTGTTCAAGTGCCAATGATGAAGGTTGGTGTGGAGTCATTTTGAACAGACTTAAATTTAGGATGTTTTGGTTGTGCCTTATGCATTATGTGGATTAATTTATGTGTGTGCTGTTCATTGCTGTGTTTGTGTATGGCATTTTGACAAATAATGAAAGTAACATAAATCCATATGCCGAAAAATGTAACACTAAAAGCAATGAAAATTAGCTTTCTGGCAGGTTGGAGGAGTGGTACTTTACCAAACAAAGTTACTTTCTCTCCCCTCTTTTGAGTGATTTGAGTAAGTAAACATTTTCTGTGTGTTGCCTGGCTTGCTTTGAAAGATGAAAAACCAGTATCTTAAAATGCACAGCCTGTGCAACTCGATTTCAAACCCCTGTGTCTGTGAGGATGAGAGCACTGAATGCACAACACATACAAAGTGTACACTGCGGTTTTTATTCAACAGTACAAATCATTGTGCATTTATAAGGCAGAACATCAAGGCGATTAAACTAGGAATTTCAAGACCAGAGTTGACGTGAGAGTTATGCATCATGAGGCAAGCATTTTGAAAAGGGAGAAAGGTCGAAATCATTCCTTTAAGGGCAGATGACAAATGCACAAAGCCTGGAATCACATGTAGGGAGTGAGCTACCAAGAGCTACTGGCCCCCCGTGTGCTCATGAGACACCCCACCTCCCGTCAGACCTCGGGCAATAAGAGCAGGTTGGCACGGAGGCTGGGAGAGAGAGCAACAGCCGCTCTTTGTCCTGGCGGTTGGTTAAAGTGGATGGTAGTGCAAAGAGCATTTCTCTACTGGTGTCAGGGGAGAAGATTGTTTTTATAGGAAGTACTTGAGTCATGAAAGCCCTAGTTTGGAATTAAAGAAAATTACATAGATTTGGAAGTTGTCCAGAAGCACATGAATCATTTCACTGCACCCAGTTTTTTCAGCAGTTTCTTGCCTCTGGAAAGCAGCCCCTTTTTCTTTTTCGAGGACATTTCCCTGCCTCTCCCAGGACTACCAGTACCCATAGATGACGTAGGTGACCCCGAATGGAGATGGACTGTGGGGGATGGCGCTCTCCTTGCTGTACCTGAACCCTCAGGAGGAACCTAGTAGGTACATTGTGACAGTTTATTGAGTGCGTGAGTGCCAACAACATCAATCCACTCGGTAACATCCTACTGCCCCATCTCCCACCAGGAAAGGGAAAGTGGGGATTCGTTTCTTCTTTCAAGTTTTAAAGTATGCCATGAGAAGCACACACACCCTCTCCCACAGCGTATCTAAGACAGAGGATCTGGCCATCAGTGTTTGATTTTCAGTGTCTTTGTCTTTAGGGAAGGGGGTGGCCATTGCTTTGGCAAAACAAAGCTAGGGAATAATTTGCCTTGTAAATTAAGACCAAAAGCAGGGAAAAAAAGTTATTTTAAGTTAGGTTGATAGTAAAATTGGCCGAGTACCCATCAATAATCTTAAAAGCAAAAGTTCTTAAAGGGAATTTTGTTGTATTTGAAAACTACTTGGGTCTGTAAAATCCTGATACTGTTGAGTGCATTCCTGGGTTGATATACTATAGGGACATTGGAGATGGCACACTGGTTGAAAGAAAAAAAAACTAAAATGAACCTTAATTACAATCAAAGAAAGCTTAAAGGCCCTTATCGTATGCTTTCATTATTTCCAAGTAATTGAAGATTAATTTTTCTCGGTATAGAGCACAGGGTAGTATTTCAACACCAGTGCTTAGTCAGCAGTGCTTCACAGGAGCAGTGCAGTATTCCAATATGGCGCATGGTGACTTTGCCTCGCTCACATTGGACACATACCTGAGATGAGATCATCTCATCTCTCCTCTCACTCCCTTACCTCACCAGAGCAAACTCTTCCTAATATGAGTGTTCATTATTCAGCAGGCAAATGATATAAGCCAAGGGGCTTCAAGCTTGCTTGGATTTAAAATCAAGGTCTAATTCTAATGGAAAACACCTAGTAAAGCATCCCAAAGTACCCCTGAAGATACCATCTATTCCGTCTGATGCAATCATTTGAGCTGCGTGTTTCCTAAAACTTAGTATTGCATTGGTATACCAACAAATCAGTCTTTCACCAAACGTGCGTGTTCAGAACACTTATTTGTGCTTTGAGGAGAAGCATAAGCTCTCTTGTAAGATAGAGGTATAGTTACTTAAGGAAAACACGCCTAGTACTCAAGCCAGCGTGTGGAATATTAAGAGCCGACATCACTTTGTATTCGTGACTTATCGGCTTGATCTTGAGTTATGTTTTCTTAAAGTAAAATTTCCTTTAGTAAACATATTTGTTAGGTTGTGCTTTTTCCAAGAGTGGCTAACAATGCAATATGCAGCTTTCATTATGAGTAGACATTGGAACACTCTCCATGTAAACAAACAATTAGCCTGTGAAGAAATATGTTCCAAATGTTGGCCTTTCAAATAGTCTTAATGTCAATAGTAGGAAATGATTACAAAAGATGATGTATTTCACTGCAAATTCAGTTGCTTTACAACTGAGACTTTAGGTCCAATGATTTTTTGAGACATATTTCTTTTTTTTCCTTTTTTTTTCGCCCCACAGTGAAGCCTTAAGTCTACCACCTTAGTCCGTTTAAGGTAGCTTAAGTTGGTATCTTTATAGGTATCTTCAGTTGCTCACTTACGTGAAGGCTACATTGCCTGATTAAGGTGTGAAATGAACACTCTTCTTCTGTTTCCAAGCAGATGAGCAAAGAAATAAAAATATATATATAAAAATATAATATATAAAAACTCGCAGTGATGAAATAAAATAAAAATGAGATACTAAACATGAATGTTATCTAATAGTTAAATATGCTTGAGAAGGTCTTTGATCTTTGGTAAGAGGGCTGAAATCCTAACAGGGCAAATACGTATTATTGCCCACCGAATCTGAGGACTAGCCGTCCCCTTTCACTCTTAATCAAGCTGGAATGTGCATCTATAATGTTGGACGGGAAGTTTCTTTGTGATGAAAGGCAGGTTGATTAGAATTGAGAGGGTCATTTTTTGTGGAATAAATAAACTTAAGATTTAGAATTAAGAATTTTTAGGCACAACCCCCATGGAAGGGCAGAGAAAAAATTCAGGGTATATGCTGATCGGCCCAAGATATAAAAATGTCAATGCAAAGACTGATTTAGACCATCTATGTGAGAGTGGGACAGAAGTTAAGAACAATGAACACGTCTGCTTACCCTTTTTGCTTTTGAGCGCATCGGCGTGTCTTGTGAATAGTGGGATGGGGCGTCAGAAAGATAGACTTCTACGTCATCAGGCACTTCTTCTAGGAAGTTTGAAGGTACAAGGCCTTTCTGCCCATTAAGCTCCCCCTAAAAGCACAGGGATGAGGCAGAAGAATGATTTACTCTGTCTTTCCAGAAACCCACTTCTTGCTTGAGCTAGAGGAATGTAGCTCAGAGCAGAGATGCATGGTGAGTTTATTCTGGTTCAAAAGTGGTAGAACCTAAAGGGACTCTAGTGTTGCCAAAGTACCCTGATCATAGAATAGCCTTGGAGACATGCTCAAAGTGCAGGGTCCCAGCCGCTCCCCCAAGGACTTGATTTGGCCTGTCTGGGGCAGAGCTAAGGAATCTGTATCTTGGCCAAGGGGCCTAGGAGATTGTTAGGATCAGGCATGTTTAGGAACCACTCCTTGGGATCATCTCAGTTAGTGCTTCTCAACCCTGGCTGACCTCAGAATCCCTAGGGGGCTTTTAAAAGTACCATTGTTCAGGCACACCAACCTACACAGATGCAACCCATCTTGAGGAAGGGGCAGTGATCTGCTGTGATCTGCTGTGCAGGCAAGATTGAGAGTACCTATCTGTTCAACCTTGTATTTTTCATCCCTCGTATGCAAGCCTACATTCTCATTATAAAAATTCAAACAAAATGAGGAAAATGGAAGTGTCTATTGACACCTCCTCAGAGATTACTGCTTCAAGTTGGTATATGTCCTTCCAAACCTCTCTACTCATTTACATATCCATACATGTACGTAGTTAAGGTCACGATCCATAGGTCCAACTGCTCACTGGACATCTGTACCGAGCAAGTCACAGCTCACCATGTCACTTCTTCCCCCCCCCCCAACACTAACTGCCCCAGAAGTGCCCAAAGCCAAGTCCAAAATTGGCTGGCCTCAGACAACATGGGAGTCTGTTTCTCTGTTCACAAGGTCCAGGAAATGACAATATGAAAGAAGCAGCCTAGGACATCAAAATTAAAAAATGCATCCAAGGACACAATCAACAGACTGAAAAGGAAACCTACAGAATGGGAGAAAATATTTGCAAGTCAAACGTCTAATAACAGGTTAATATCCAGAACATATAAAGAACTCTTACAACTCAACAAAAAAACAACATGATTAAAAAATGGGCAAAGGTCTTGAAAAGTTATTTCTCTTAAAAAGACATACAAATGGCTAACAAGCACATAAAAAGACGCTCAACATCACTAAACATTGGGAAAATGTAAATCAAAACCATGAGATACCACCTCACATCCATTAGGATGGCTGCTATAAAAAACAACAGAAAAAGCAGAATTAAAAACAACCAAAATAGTGTTGGTGAAGATATGGAGAAACTGGAATCCTTGTGCACTGTTGGAGGGAGTGTAAAATAGCACAGCCACTGTGGGAAAAACAGTGTGGCAGTTCCTCAAAAAATTAAAAATATAATTATATGATCCAGTACCTCTTCTTCTGGGGATATACCCACAAGAATTGAAAGCAGGGTCTCAAAGAGATATTTGCACACCCATGTTCACAGCAGCATTATTCACCGTAGCCAAGATGTGGAAGCAACCCAAGTGTCCATTGATGGATGAATGGATAAACAAAATATGGTCTATACATCCAGTGGAGTATTATTTGGCCTTAAAAGGGAAGGAAATTCTGACACATGCTACAACACGGATGAACCCTGAGGACATGATGCTCAGTGAAATAAGCCAGTCAGAAGAATACACGTACTGTATGATTCCGTTTACATGAGGTACTTAGAGTGGTCAGATTCAGAGACACAGAAAGTAGAATGGTGGTTGCCAGCGGCTGGGGGAGCGGGTAATGGGTAAATAGTGTTTAATGGGGACAGAGTTGCAGTTTTGCAAGATGAAAAGAGTTCTGCAAATGGATGGTGGTGATGGCTGCACGACAGTGTGAGTGTACTTAACACTACTGAACTGTTCGCTTAAAAATGACTTAGATGGAAAATTTTATGTTATGTGTATTTTACCACAATTAAAAATAAAAATTAATTTAAGAAAAAGAGGCAGCCCCAGGGACTTCCCATCTTCCTGTGCAATAATCCCTCCTAAGCCCAATGCATACATGCCCAGTTCTCCCCCACGTTGACCTTGAAGACTCCACTCTCTGTGCACATGTGACTGCTCTAATTCGTCTTTCTCAGGCTCCATTGTTGGCTTATTTTTCTCTTTTGGTGTCACTGAGAGACTTTTTCTGGGACATATTTGCTTTTTACTGTACATATGCCCCCTGGTGATTTCTTCCACATCAAGGGTTGCAAATAACATCTGTGCACAAAGACACTCAAATTTCTATCCAGTCCAGACCTCTCTGAATAAGTCCAACACAGCCTGATTTTTCCTCCAGCATCAGAAAAGACTTTCTCTGGGTGAGCACCAGATTGGAGTCGTTGGCTTGTGTTTGGGGGCTATGTTCTGTGAAAATGCACAGCTTTGCACACGAATCCCCATCGGTACCATGTTCACATCACAAGAGCCCTGTGCCAGCTGAGACCTACACAGTCCTGCATATGCAGGCTTCCAGCTGCCCCTGCTCTGGTCTCATTGAGTAGAATGATGGATAGAACTGCCAGCGCTATTTATTGTTTTCCCTCTGGTTCTTTTGGGCCTCCAACACACAGTTCTATTAAAGCACACGTCCAAAGTGCACCTGACACCACTTCACTGTTGCCTCCGCCACTACGTCAGATGTGGTCACAAGAATATTCCAGAAGTCTACGGCACCTCGAGTTTGGCATGAACCCTATTCCATCTTGGAGAGGCTCAGGTGTCCTATTCAAACCCGTCAAGCTCAACGTTTTCTAAATCATATTTTGTCTCAACCGTGTTCCTATTCCTGCGTTCCCAAGGGCACCCATCACCAAGGCAGAATCTGGGGATCCTCCCAAGGACACTCTTTTTTTTGTCTGTTTGTTTGAGGAAGATTGTTCCTGAGCTAACATCTGTGCCAATCTTTCTTTATTTTATATGTGGGATGCTGCCACAGCATGGCTTGATGAGTGGTGTGTAAGTTCATGCCCAGGATCCCAACCTGCGGACCCTGAATCCCAGGCTGCCTAAGTGGAGCACGGGAACTTAACCACTATGCCACCAGGCTGGCCACCCGACGACACTCTTTCACCCCAGCTAACAAGCTGAGCTCCGGATAATATTGAAGCCGCCTTTTGTCTGCCTTCCTCTGTCATCATCTCAGCTCAGGCCTGTGTGCCTTACCTGGATGATTCTATCACTTGTCAGCTGGCTTCCTGGGACTCCCACCTCCCTTCAACAGTCCACTTTCAAAACCCTTGACAGAATGACTTTCTCTAAAAGAAAACTTGATCTTGACCTTTCCCCACTCTCAGACCCTTTACAGTCTGATCTAGAAAGAAAGACCTAGAAAGAAATATGGGACAAAGTATGAATAGCCTCACTAAAAGCTGTTTGTACTCTTAATATTCGGAACCTGCACAGAAGAGAGCCTTGGGATTCCATATGTGCCCAGGTTGTAAAATTTGTTTTACTCAAAGGACACCTACCACATCAGGACTTGATAGTTTCTTGGCTGTTCTGATAAAGGGGTGGGGGGACACTGATGCAAGATGGTGACCCCATTCCCCACCCACCACTGCAGGGGATGTCCATTCAGCAGGTCTGCCAGCCACATCCTTCGTGGCCCAGTGGGCGTCGGGCCAGGAAGGGGCCGCCACTCACAGGAGGTGACCCAGCTGGAGAAACGCTAAGGTGACCCCCCACCGACATTCCTTCCCTCTTTTCCTCAGGGAATATTGGGGGAGGTACTCCACAGGAGCACAGAGGCAGGTGTCTGGCACCAGGGGTGGCCAGAGCCAGGACTCCCTCGCCCAAAGGCTGGATTCCATACCACTGACAGCTGTCAGCTCAAGACAGAGGTCAGGGAGGCGTTCTAAACTCTATTGGTTTTAATTAATTAGTTAATTTTGCTTATTTGTATTTCTTCCTTTTCCTATATGAAAAGTGTGTTTATTACTTATGCAGTAAATAATCCACAAAATTGAATTGTTTGGTAAATGTTTGGATGGCAGAAATTTTTAAATGTAAGAATGTGAATACATTCACTTTGTTTACACCTTATATACATCAAAAATATCTCTATTAGAAAAGAAAGAACTGTGGAAATTAATAAAAGAAACCCTAACTAAATTGGAGTAGGGAAAGCCTGTAGGGGGAGCTCTCACACATGGTCTATCACACATGGTCAATTATACCAAACAGGAAACATCTTCCACAGGAAGTAAAACTACTTCACTACTGAAGGAAGACTTCTCTCCCCACCCGGCAACAGCCCAGCCAATGAGAAACACCGCAGATCAGCCAATGAGAAGCCCTTTCTGCCCGGAACTGTTACTTTCCCCCAGTGGACTTTCCTTTAGAATAACCCCTCCCTGCTCCCCCGTTTTCTCTATAAAAGCAGCTCCCCTCTTCACCTCATTTGTTCTCTGGGTTTGCGTATGGTTCGCCATAGCATGCACATCCCGAATTGCAATTCTTTTGGTTATTCCCGAATAAACTCACTTTGAAGCTTTTCAAGTCAACAGAACAATGAAGGTGGCAGCACCATATTATATGTAACTCAGTGAAGAGAGACACGGAAATTAGGCAAAACTTTCAGCAAGCTGTGTAAAGTTCATACATAATCTTAGAGGAAAGAACAGACAAGCAAAAAAAAAAAAAAGAATGAAATGGTGCTTCCTGATGTTTCAAAAACTTACGTAGTAAAATCCATCTTCATCAATTTCACCAAAAACAGTAATAATATCTCCCGTGCAAAACGTAAGTTCAGCCTATAGAGACAGAACATAAAGTTAATTGTATTTTCCTGTACCAAGTAGTTGTTTTTTAAAAAATTTCATGACTTCTTATTTCTCTTTTTTCTTGTTATTTTGGTTATATTAACTTACTCTCTCAATGAAACAAGGAAGAAAGGTACAAAGCTAGTGAATGCCTCTGTTGATAACCTCTTAGAAAGTAACTACACCTCAAAATAAGGCCAACCTAAAGGGAAAGTGCTGTGGAGGCTTGATCCTCAGCCAGAATTCAAGATCCTCACCATGTTGTATTGGAAGCCCGTCTTTCAAACTAGTCAGATAGTTAACCTTAAAAACCTGGAACATTAGGAAAATGTTCTCTGCAGTGTAAGGACCATTATATAAATATCCTTTCACTGAGTGTAAAAAATCTTTACTCCGTTATTAACTAAATGTCTATTAAGTATCCGCTACATGCCAGGCACCAGCCTAGAGACAGGCACATAGAATGTAGTACAGGATGCAAAAAAAAAAGCATTTTTATCTCTAAACATGAAAATGAGGAAGAAAGTTCATCTCTAAGAGCCATCAGGCATCATATATAAATCAGGCCTGTCCAGAAATCTCTGAATAACTAAGCTTTGAATCTGAACCACGAGCTGGTCTCGCATCAGGTATAACAGAAATACTGGTTTGTGGATTCAGATACGTCTTGTCATCTAAGTACCTCCATAGAGGGAAAACCTACTCTCATTTCTGAAGGCACATCCTTTCCAGTTTTCATAATGGACCCAGGACACAAAACTGTGTATACAGAGCTATGTGTACCAGGCTATGTGTACACAGACCATCAACCCTTTCTTCTCTCCTTTGCCTTGAGTGTGGGGGGAGGAGGGGTTTACTGCTTTGCCTTTTTCATTGACCATGTGCGTTGGGCTTCTATTTCTCCCTTCAAGATGACCCTGTTGGGCCACCACCACTAGATGTGGACCCCAAACTGCTCTTCCAGGGGTGGCACAGGGAGACCTGGGCGACAGGAACAAGGACTTGTCAGTAGCCAGTGTGCCCCCAAGCGTGTCAGTCAGGCTCACTACCTCTCTCCTGCCCGCCTAGTGCTCTGTTGGCCGTTTACAGGGGTGGGAGCCCTTCTATGGACGGCTCCAGAGAAGGGCAGAGAAGGCTGGGGTCAGGAGGTTAAGCGTGGTGTTCATGAGCAGCCCTGTGGGTCAAGGTACCAGGCGTAGCTTTCTGTCCGTAGTGAGATGGTATTTGGCTCGTACCTCAACGTCGATGTTAGGTGAGCTCTCCCTCGGATCATAGTCATAGAGGGCCACCATTCTTCGAGTCGACACTGAGTGCTGCCTGCCACTTCTCCTGTTTCTCTCTGTTTACATAACAAAGAGAAGAAGAAAGCCATTGTGAAGTTATTTCAAAGTGAGTGGTGGCCCTCTTCGTGGTCTCTGTGGCCATGGAGCCAGGTCGCACTTGGTTGGTGGCACAGAGACAACCACCCCCCCTCAAGGGTCTCATGCTCGTGGGCATTAGTGACAGGAAAGGCTTCGACTTTGAGGCCAGTCGCCTTGGGCTTCCTAGTATTATGTTTTAGCTCTAGGACAGTCCCCCTTAGAGTATAGCAAGAACACTGTTCTTTCTCCAGTGTGTCCATTGAATATAAGAAAGACTTAGATGAAGCAGGGAATTCTCTGGAATAGTAAATCTAAATGATTTGGGGCAGCGCAGGGCAGGTGTGGCTTGGGGAGGCCAGGTGGGCCAGTTGGAGGCTGTGGCCATAGCTCTGAGCAGGCCCCACAAACACTGTTTCAAAAATGCTCATTCATGTAACTACTATGAAGCAACAAAATCAAGTTACTCTCTGGGCCGGCCCCGTGGCTTAGCGGTTAAGTGCACGTGCTCTGCTGCTGGCGGCCCAGGTTCGGAACCCCGGGCGCACACCAACGTACCG